TTCGAACTTGATCTGTCTGAAAATTAAAGACTGTTCTGTGCAAAATCATACCTATCTATCACAGATCGTTTGGATCTTAACGCGACTGCAAAAAAAGTAACCAGTAAAGAAATTCTTAAAGTCGGGCGGGGCCGACTTTATGATACCCTACACCACTTTGCTAATTTAGTAGAGCTGCGCATAACAATTAAAAGTTTTTATTGCAAAATTCAACCATACACGCTATGATTTTAATTATAATTTAAAATTCAAAGGACTAAATATGCCGAAGCATTTGTATCTTTTAAATTCGGACTTGTATTGCCCATTTGGTGCGAAATTAATTTGAAATCGGATAAATATATATATGGGAACTAAACCAAATCTGAACCGATCTCGATAAAATTTGGCAAAGATATTTCTGAGCTGTATTTGATATATTTCCCTGAATATCGTTGTTACGGAGTGCATATTACGGCTCTGGGTAACAAATACAATAAATCGGATGAACAATATATATGGGAGCTATAACTATATCTGAACCGATCTTCACCAAATTTGGCATACTACCTTCTAGACTAAATTCGGTCGTATATGCCAAATTCCATCCCATTTGGACATATATTAGACGTTTGGTGCACAATAAATGGTAAATCGGACGAAGTTATATATGGGAGCTACATCCAAATCTAAACCGATCTCGATAAAATTTAGGAAAGGTATTTCTGAGCTGCATTTGATATATTTCCCCAAATATTGTTGTTACAGAGTGCATATTACGGCTGCGGAGGACAATAATAACAAATCGGATGAACAATATACATGGGAGCTATAGCTATATCTGAACCGATTTCGATAAAATTTGGCATACTTATTTTCAGGCCTAATTTGGTTGTATGTGCAAAATTCCATTTTATTCGGGCTGATATTACACGTTTGGTGCACCACAAATTTTTACCGATTATCTCCAATTTCAATAGGGTTCGTCCTTGGACCAAACAAATGTTGGTTGCAAAATTTCATCTCAATCGGATAATAAATGCGACCTGCATTTTGTTCACAAGAATACATGGGCAGACGGACGGACAGACGGACTGACATGCATAAATCAACTCAGAAAGTGATTCTATGCAGATCATCAAAAGGAACTATGGGTCTATCTCGTTTCCTTTTGCCTGTTACAAACAAATGCACAAAGACATAATACCCTGACCACCTTGTGGTGTAGGGTATAAAAATGGTGGACGAACACTTCAAAATCCACTTAGCGTTTGAAGCTGATCAAAATATATGTACAGGGTGGATAAAAGAACTGCAAAAAGTCTAACGCCATAATTTTTACATTTTTTAAATTTTATTGAATGAAAGCCAAAAATGTCGGAAACAGCATCAAATTTTCGACTAAGTTTAGATTTGTTCGAATTGGTCACCTTTGGTACGAATTATGACCTTTAAACGGCCAATGAAACCATCACACGCTGCCCGAATGTTGCTCTGCGGTATTTTGGCACATTCCCGGCGAAGCGCTTGTATGAGGTGATCGACACTTTGGTATTTTTTAGTGCCGACCTTGCTTTCCAAAATACTGCAGACACAATAGTCCAACGGATTGGTATCCGGAGATTTTGGTGGCAATTGTACGCTACAAATGAAGCGAGGAACCTCATTTTGTAAAAATTCTTGGGTGGCGCGTGCTGAGTGTGATGGTGCTGAGTCCTTTTGGAATACCCAAGGTCTGCGGCCAAAATATTTGCGTGCCCAGAGCTTTAATACACCCTCCAGAATAATTACGCGATAATATTTGGCATTTATTCTGATGCCTCGTTCGATTAATACGAGCGGAGCAACTCTTTAGCTCTTTTGAGTCTATTTTCTTTCTGTTGCGGTGTAAGTTCTTGCATTTTTTGGAATTTCAATGGCTTTACCCCGAGCTCATTTTTCAATATTTGCCAAATGGAAGTTTGCAATATGTCCAGCTCACGAGCCATTTTTTCGGGCACTGCGACGCGGGTTTCGATCAAGTCGCTTCTTTTCTTCTCAAAGCATTTCTGCTTATGTTGCTGTTTTCTTCCGTCCACTTCCTTGACGTCGGGTTAAGAAACCAGTATCACGGTAATGATCGATGGTACGAGACACAAAAGATTTATTCACATTTAAATGCAGGAGTGCTCTAACGATAGCCACTTGTTGTTTTCCAGCCAAATATAAAGAAATAACACTATAACGCTTGAATTCCATCACGAATAACTTTGTTCTGGAAAAATCTCATCAAAGTGCTTTTGTATGCTTGAAAACAATATAATGAGCTGTTACTGGAATAATTTTAACAGCTGTCGGACGAGTGGCTTTGAAATGACAGCAGTCTGAATTTGGTTGCAGTTTTTTCATCTCACTGTGTACAATAACAGTTTCACTGTACGGCTAATTCGATAAGTTTTGGCCTTTAATCTCTTGTTTCAACATTTCGCATTAAGCCGAAATCTTATGTCTGCTGATTTTATTATTTATAATGGGTCATATAGGTTCAAGTTTTGGTATAGTCTCATTAAAACTGTGTTGCAGAGCTTAGGTATTTTGGACGTTTTAAGATGCATGTACATAGGAAGCTTGAAGTCATGGTTAGGCATATTAGTGTCAAATTATAATAAAAAGACGGCTTTGTAATAAATTTATGGTCACATAGCTTGCCATATTATTGGCTAATTAAATTCTTCATTTTCTGTAATTTCTTAAATTATTGTGATCTCTTCATAATTCTGATTTATATATGTGTAATAGTGTGATTAAATATTTCCCCCCAATTTTCCCCTTTTTTCTCATTTCCTCTGGTAATCTTGATTAGCTTTTTTATGGTTTTTAATTAATACACACCAAACAAAAAAAGGTAATGAACCAAATATTCTTCATTTACACACGTTCAGATAGAGTTTACGTTAAAAGGTACATCTTCGCTGTTCATGGCGACGTCATCATTTGATAAATTATACACGTAGCTGGATGAAAGAGAGTGAAAAAAGTACAGCACATCTTCACAAGGTCGTTTTTGTGTGTTTATTTCATGGTGGTGCTAATTAAGCTGTACGTACATGTCTTGTCCGACAAAAACCAAAAACATGCAATTTAGTCCGTTCGAAAAAATTTCACAATAAAATACAGTGAATGTCTAAGAAATTATCGATGTCCAGGATTTAAGTTTTTGATTTTGAAGCCATATTTTTCAAGGGAAATATCTGAAATTTGGTAGCGTAAAATTTTTGGTCGATTTAGCCATCTTCGCCGGTCTGTTGCAATCACGCTAGTGGTATATAAAGTTAAAACTTTGTATAGAGCTGTCTTTTGTATCAAATCAGGACAAGTTCGTAGATGAGTCATACCCATCAACGTTTTCGTACAGCCCCCACATGATTGTACCTCTTCATATTCAGTATTTTGACGATTTTAGCCATACTTCAAACAGAAGCGTTTAAAATTCGGTATTTAGGGTTTGAAATTGGAATCTACTTCCTGCACCAGAATACTGTTTATATATGTCCACGTTTGTCTATAGCTCCCATTAAAAGGTACTTCCCCATTACGACCGAATCGAGTCTAGAAGCTAGTATTTCAAATTTGGTGAAGATCGGTTCAGATACAGCTATTGCTCCCATATTTACTGTTCATCCGATTTGTTATATTTGTTACCCACAGCCGCAATATGTACTCCGTAACAACGATATTCAGGGAAATATATCAAATACAGCTCAGAAATATAATTGCCAAATTTTATCGAGATCGGTTCAGCTCCCATATATATCTTTATCCGATTTCAAATTAATTGTGCACCAAATGGGCAATACAAGTGCGAATTTAAAAGATACAAATGCTTCGGCATATTTAGTCCTTTGAACTTTAAACTATAATTAAATCATAGCGTGTATGATTGAATTCTCCCATAAAAACTTTTAATTGTTATGTGGAGGTCTACTAAAAAATAGTGGTGTATGGTATCATAAAGTCGTCCCCACCCGATTTTAAGATTTTCTTTACTGTTTTTTTGTTTTTTTTTTTTTTGAAAATTGCCAAATTCGTTCCATATGGTGGAGGGTATTGAAAGTTCGGCCGAACTTACAGTTTTTTTGCTTGTTTTAATTATTTCGTTGTTAGGCAATTGTAAATTATAAAAGATATCTCCTTATGTCATTAAACTCAACTAGAAAAAGAAATTATCAAAAATCTACATTATTTATTTTATACATATTTTTCCGATTGAGAACCCTGGAAAAAACCGATGTACAATAGCTTTGTTCCGTTATGTACAAAATCTGTCAACTTTCACCATTCACAAATCATTTTACTTGACCTCCTTCTTCCTTCCTTGACCTTCTGACTTCCTTTACATTTACCTTCTTCAAAATATCAAAAATCTGTATTTACCCAAAATTATGAAAATTTTTGCATTACAAAAAATATGCATATATTTAAAAAAGGGATTATATCATCTCCCAATATATTGCAAAAATTCTACTACTCCTGACCAAATACTGTATTCGCCGAGATATTATCATTAATATTTTCCGAAAATAAGAACCTGTACATAAAAAAGACATGTAGTTAAGGTAATTATGTCCTTCACGTATATAACATGTAATATAGCTGATAAATCCGCCAACAACTTGGATGGACTGGAGATGAGGAGAACAAACCAATAACAAAAACACATATATAATTGTGTAAACGAATGTGTTTCATTGATTACAAGTTACGATCCCGATACAATATACTTTTTACATAAATACCGATAACAACAACAGCAAAAACTGTGGCAATGGGAAATCTTTCTCTTACTCCTCTTGTACCAATACCTAGAACCAAACGTACATACATTCGGAGCAATTTAAAGGTTGAGGCAGAGGAAGATACTAATTGGACCACTGGCAACACAAGCAGTGCAGGTTACCTTTTGCCGTTGCTGTATGTGTGTGTGTGTGAGAGAGAGTATGTTTTATAAATACAATACCATACAGCTTAACCTAGTTACTTACCGGTCCTTATACTGACTGATTGGTGGCGAATTGAAAACAGCCACATTCGGTTTACCGCTCAGCTGTAAAGTTTTACGTGACTTGCCAAGTTGATTTTCAGCAACACACGAATAATTACCAAAATCTTGTGGATGCACTTTACGTATAATCAGCGTATGACGTGAGCCACGATTCTCCATAATATGACGCTCGGTGGTATCCAATTGCATGGTGTCCTTAAACCAAATGACCTAGATCGGGTTGAGCAAAAACAAGAAACCACGTACAAATTGGGTTGGTATATTCCCCATGGAAGGAATGTTATGCAGAAAGAAGGGTACAAGGCGGGGTGGGTAAGATTTTGGGCAATACCATTTCAAGATTTATTAAATTTATAAAATGAAAGAAGAATTCGCAAATAAAACAAAATCAGACAGCAAACGTTTGTCGTTTTTTGGTTGTGGGGATTTAAAGGATGCGAAGAGAAAAACAACCCGGATTTACGTATATTTTTTGACATTTGTTTATGTTGGATGACAGATTTATTTAATCAGTATAAAGAAATACGAAATATGTCAGTCAGGATAACACGCACATACACACACACATGCACACATTATGGCATATCAGCACGGCCAACCAGCCATATAAACGTATGTGAATGTATGATAGACAGACAGTCAAACAGACAGACACCATAATAAGTATCAACACAGCAGATGATGGAATTTTGGGCCAAAAAATGTGGACATTTTTGACGTTGACATTGTCATTGTTGCCGTCATATGTGTAAAAATAATAGAAAACAAACAACAAATGACACCAAAAACAACAACAACAACAATGAGATGAATACGGCCGTTATTGTCGTAATGATAAAACAACAAAATCAATATGGCCCCCAAACAATTAGCATTGGAGGAGAACCACGATGATGTGGGTGTGGGAGCGGATATAAAGAAAGAGAGGCACGTACGGCGAGGAAAAGTTAAGTGTAAAAAATCAAATCAAATGCATGTTTCAAAGCAGAAGCAGTGGGTCCACGCAAGAGATTCAGAGCGAGAGAAAGCCAGGCCATTTTTAACATGAATGACAGATTTTGAGTAGCATCAACCAAATCAAAATCATGTTCAAGATATTGCCAGACATGGGAGAGTGGAATGAGCAATCACATCCAGATTGAAAGTATGAACAAGGCATCAGCAGCAGCAGCAGGTGCACAAGTGGAAGGTATGAGTTGGGATTTAAGATGTAAGACAAATAAAAGAACGAGTTTGAAAGCCCAATAACGACGGAAATACACAAAAAAAAAACAAATAATAACAAGTATCCGCACCATGGTATTAGAGACAGTAATGTGACCGGAATACATGGGTAAACCAAATAAATAGAAAATACACAATATAGACAATTGAGGCCACATTGTAAAGATTCATTGCCGTCGTCGTTGTTGTTGTAGTTATTTTTGTTGGCGTTTGAACACCATCATGTGTTTTATTCCACATGGCAATGTTGTTGTTATTATTGTTGCAGGACATACATATATGTGTAGGTTGAGCAAATGTTGTAAAAACATTGCATTGTTGACGATATGCCATACAAATAGGGATAAGCGGTTGTTCGACACACAGCCACGCACGCACACACACACATACATACAATCAAACAAAGGTATGATGGTGTCCAAATGTGTGATTTTTTCGAAACACACAGAAAAAAAACCGGCAGGACAGAGAAAGTGTAGGCAAGTGTTTGGTTTTCATTGGTATTGATTGTCATTTTGAATCGCAGTAAAAGAATGGCATCATGGTTACAGGCAAAATACATCATCGGCAAAGCCATTTGGCCGTTGTCATCATTATTGTTCAGATATAAGTGGACAAGCGAACGTACGAACGAAAGAGCGAGTGGGTGTATGCGAGGCGATGGCGGGTATATGTGTGTTTTAAAAAGAAGAGTGTTTGTGTATATTTATATTGTTTGGAAATGGACATGGCCAAGTGAATGTATGAATAAAAGAGTGTGAATGTGTGAGTGTGTGTGTGTGCGTATATGTTGTTTTATGGTACATTATACCGTATGTATATATTTTGTCATGTGTATAAACAACAGGCATTTTCGCCCAGCAAAACACCAGCAAAAAATTAACAATTGTTGATGTTGGAGTGGTTGTTTGTTTTCAGGTTTTACGTGACGTGTTGTCAGTGGAAAAGTGTAACGAAGAAAAAAGAAATAAATTTGTTGTTGACGTTTGCAGGTTTTTTTTTTTTGTTTATGGTGTGAGGGTTTTATTGTTTATTTTCCGTTTGTTTTCCAGAAAATAATTTATCAAACAATACCAATGCACATACACAGGGGAAACACAAGGAACGGAAACGGTTACACAGTTATGTGGATAGATGAAAATTCGACATTTTTTTTTTAATTTTCGGCATTGTTTTTTCCATATTTTGTTGGCCATTGTTTGTGTTTTTTGCAATTTTTTTTTTACAAAGGGATATCCGTGCATAAAATATGTTGCATTTTGTTATCATTTGTTGCACATAGGTAGTTTTTATTTGTCACAAATTTACACCAGCACCCACCAAAAATAATAAAAATAATGCAGAATAAAAAAAACACACACAACAGAAATTCCGTTGTTTTCATTTGTCGCATATTTTCATAGAAATTGAAGCGTAACGAAGCGTATGTATGTTGACATGGCATAAAAGCGTTAAAATTATTTATATCCATAGTTATTTTTTTAAATTGTCATCAATGTTAGTGTTGTCGTTGTTGTTGTTTTTGCAGTTGATATATTCAATATTTTGCCATTGCTCGTTGTAGTTGTTGACAATGATGACGTTGACAGCCCAGCGCCATACATGATGATGATGATGATGACGATTTCGATGGTTGTTTGATTTGATGACACACCCAAGATATGTAACATGATAGCACATGAAAAGAGAGTAAAAGGGAAGGGAGAAAAAAATTCCAACATGTTCGTTAGTAAAATATATTTTTTTTTAAATAAATATTATCTATATCTATAAAAGAGGAAAATGTTTGTATGTTTGTTTGTTTGTTTGTTTGTTTGTTTGTTTGTAATTTATGGACTCGAAAACCGCTGAATAGGTTTTCCTGAAAATTTCCATATATACTGCAACATCGCCTGAAAGTAACATAGGCTATATACATTTTTGAATTTCCACTTGGAACTGGAGATATAGCATCAGAATCGGAGGTACCTCCCAAAAATTTAGATTTTATATGCACATATCTATTGATTGGTTGAAGATACAGTCTCCAAATTTGGAATACGTAACGGAATTTGGAACAAAAATAAGTTTGCCAAATTATATTGTAATCGGTTCAGATTTGGATATAGCTCCCATATATATTTTCGAAAGATTTCGTTCATTTGATGTCTCAAACACAATATGAAGGTTCGATTCCAATGAAATTTGGAATGTGTGACGGGATTTAATCCGAAAATAAATTTGTCAAATTATATTGAAATCGGTTCAGATTTGGATATAGCTCCCATATATATTTTCGGCCGATTTCAAGCATTTGATGCACCAAACACGCTATGTATCCCCAATTTCAATGAAATTTGAAACGTGTGATAGATTTTATCTAAAAATTGATTTCCTAAATTATATTGAAATCGGTTCAGATTTGGATATAGCTCCCATATACATTTTCGGCCGATTTCATGTATTTGGTGGACCAAACACGGTATGTATTTCCAATTGTAATGAAATTTAAAATAAGTAACGGAATCGGGAGCCAAAATGAATTTGTCAAATTAAATTGAAATCGGTTCAGATTTGGATATAGCTCCCATATATATTTTCGACCGATTTCATGTATTTGATGCACCAAACGCGCTATGTATCTCTAATTTCAATGAAATTTGGAAGTTGTAGCGGAAATTAAAACAAATATACATTTGTCAAATTATATTAAAATCGGTTTAGATTTGGATATAGCTCTCATATATATTTTCGACCGATTTCATGTATTTTATGCACCAAACACGATATGTATGTTCGATTCCAAAGAAATTTGGAATATGTAACGGGATTTTGATTAGAAAATAAATTAGTCAAATTATATTAAAATCGGTTCAGATTTGGATATGAGTGGCTAAATTTGCATGAGTGGCTAAATTTGGTACAAAAATAAATTTGACAAATTATATTCAAATACGCTCAGATTTGATTATAGCTCCCATATATATACTAAGCCGATTTCACATATTTGATGCACCCAAAGCGAGAGAGACAAAATCCCGTTACATATTCCAAATTATATTGAAATCAGTTGAGGTTTGGATATACCTAACATATATATTTCGGCCGATTTCATACATGTTATGCACCAAACATGATATATACGACCGATACCAATGAAATTCAGAATGTGTGACGGAATTTGACTACAATAATAAATGTGACAAATTAATTGGAAATTAGTTAAGATTTGGATAAAGCTCCCATATATATATATTATCGGCCGATTTCACATATTTGACGCACCAATTTCAATGAAATATGAAAGGTGTGGCGGAGTTTGGTGTAAAAGTAATTTTTTTAAATTATATTTAAATCGGATCAGATTGGGATATGATTTTAATAACAACCATTGACCCACAACGCCTTAGGCTAACACTAAAAAACAACACAACAATTGATTTGAAATACGCTTATTACGGCGAAGTATGTTGCTATCTCGAATTCACTAATTGCAATAGTAATGCCACTCAACTTCAAAAGATTGCAGTTACATAAATAAATAAATCCGAAGGACAAACCCTTCGTGTATGTATGTCATGTTACTGCTTTTCTAATGGTTTTGGTTATTTACGCATAAAAGTAGTGCAATAATTTTTTCTTTAATTTTGAAATTTGTTTTTTTTAACCAACATATATTCGTAAATAAAATTTTGAATGCATATAAAATTAAAAGGGGTAGCGAAGCGCACCGGGTTCAGCTAGTTATACATATAAAGTAAGAGGGAATATTGTTAGTATTTGTTAGTGTTATTGTAAACAGTGCAAAGAGAATTAATATGCATGTAAACATTAATACGAATAAATATTAGTGGTGAGTTTCAGTAAACATTGTTGTCAATCTATTCGTTTGTAGCTAAAGGAATTAATCAAATGTGTCATCTTTGTCTTGACCTATGGATGACATCATCCAGGGTGTTGAACCGAAATTTATGCCCTATATCGAAATCTTTGCTGTTTATAAAAAA